AATGCATAACCAAACAATGTCAGTTAATTAGTAGATAAAGCACATCTCGAAACTTTACCACACAGTTTACGTAATTGTATATAGCATTTTATGATTGCAAAAGGCTTGACACTGCATGAACTCTTTGGGGAAGAAAAATAGAGAAAAAGGGTTAATTGCACATTCATGCAAGTAAGGTTAGGCTTCCAACAAATATTGAACCAACTTACTCTCTAAAGAGAGTTCCAACACAGGGGACAGCATGCAAAACGAAATAAAAACAAAACAAAAAACAAAACAAACAACAAAAAAGGGAAAAAGATAAAAACACACAAATTAGTGGCCATCAATACAAAGTTCCTGTATGGAATATAAAACAAAATAAAACAAAAAAGGTATTTCAAAACTTTTATGATAAATTTAGTAATTTTATTGGGATACCCAATGTATTTTAAAAGTAAGCACTTAGCATGTCCTTCAAATCATTCTCCCATTTTCTCCTCCAAATGATATTATTACTCTCTTTTTCTAAGCAATTCCCTACGTCCAGCTATCATGTTAAAGTAAACCTTTAAAAAAAAAAAGTGATGACAGAGTAATTCCTACAGACACTGGAAAAGAGTAGAAGATGAGATTTGTGTAGCCATATGTGTGTGATAAAAAATTCACAGCTCACGAACTCTTAATACTTAAAGGATCCTCCTGATAATACAGTGATAACTATTAATAGTTTTTGCAACACCAAAAAGCAGGCAAGGTTTCAGTGACTGAAGCAGGTGTATCACATGTGCTAATAACACAGGCCAAACTTTTGAAATCAATGCAACATTCTTTTATGTCAGAATGTCCAGTAAACAAAACTAGAATAATTCAAATGTAACATTCCTAAAGGCTTAATGAAAAGATAAAATGTTGTTATCCTTCCCTGGCTCCCCCACTACAAAAAAATCTTCAGGGTAGTTCCCATATATGTATAGCTGCAATATTAATTAACACAAAAATAAGCAAAATTAAACCAAGCTGCTGTTCACAATTTTGTCATTACTTCATTTAAACCCCAGTAATTTCAACATTTAATTTTCTTTCCTCTCCTCTGACTTAACTGTTCTTTTTATGGAATGTTTTCTTCAGTTTCTCTTAAACTGCTTGGCTTTAGTCTTTTCTTCTGGATTTCTGCAGTACATGAGCAACTTTAATACCATATTGCTGCGTGCAATGCAAATTTCTTCCAAAATACATGGTGTCACAGATAGCAGCTGGCCACATTTTGCAGCAGGAAAAATAAGGAGGACAGATGAACACTAAGGTAACCTCTCAAGGCTTCTCATCACTTTGAATTTAATTTTCCATTGCAGCAATAAGGAAGACCTAAAAGCATGTTAACTGTATTGCATAATAAAAGTAGCTTTTCAGAATTCTGCTGGGAAAAGCCAGTGCTTCTGAAGTAAGTAATTTGCTCTGAATTTTTCTGGGTTATCATTTTATCAATTCTGAAATATGAACACAAAGTGGGAAATGTTATACTCAACATAAAAGATAAGGTTTCTTCCAAACAAGCCTATACTTCAAACAAAATATGAAGTTACGTGCTTTTTACATGATGCCATTATAACTTTATTCAGCTCCTTATTTACCCGCAAGTCCTTTTGCTATGGAAAATTACTGCATATATGAAGCTGTACTAGTTACCCACCTCCCACAAAAATTGTAAAAATACTATCAAGCGAAGTAACTCAGTTAAAAAGATTTTAATGGGTTTAGAAAACAGAAGGATTATTCTCCTTGTTAGATCATCCATACTGGGTCTTCACCTAGGTAAAAGCAAGTAAAACATTGCATTTTCTTTTATATCACAGTAGTCTCCACCTTACTTACTGAATACTAACAAAGATGCAAAAATTATTCAGTAGTCTCAACTGCCAGCACTATCTATGAAATTTGAGGAAGACATAATAAAATAAGTAAGATCACATTTGGTATAGCTCATCAGACTCATCATATATGATTTAGTCAGACCGCTTTCTTCATGATTTAAATTACTGCATCACAGCCTTTTGTTTCTGATTGAGAGAGAAAACCTTTACTCATGTTGAAATGGCTTCTGTAAACAACATGACTTCTTAAAAATACTTACAAATTTTGAGCAAAAACTGTTGAACTACTTCAATGCATTTTAGATGAAACTAACCTTTACTTTATTTCAATTATCCTGCAAAAAAGGTGGAAAATCATCTTGTTCAAAATTGCAAATTAAATGGATTGAAATCTGGCACCGTTAACTGCTTGATAGTTTGTGAAATTTTTACATGTGCAAATACCGCTGACATATTTTACCACAACTGGCTTTCTATTAATATATGTTTTCAAACATTTACTGCAAGTAAGAAAAACCTAAACATACCTTACTGTGAGGATCAGCAAACATTCTTGTGAAGATTTCACACAACCTTTTCAACTCAACACGACTGTCAAAGTGACAATAAGACATTAGTCAACTCCCCTGCTAATACTACGAGAACACTAATGCATAGCTATCAATAGTGAAATCAACTGTAAATATTGAATCAAATAATCTAGTAAACAAAGTAGAAAAAAGCATTTTTTTTAAGACATGGATAAAAATGTAAAGGATTTTGTCTAAAATGAGACTTTCTACCTACAAACCTCTCTCTAAACTAATTCAGGTATTAAGCCATTCCCGACTATTTTAACAGATAATGAAAAAGGTATTCTTAGCTAGTAGTAAACAGTTTCTTCTGAATAAATACCCAATAAAGAAAATAATAATAGTGATAAAAAATTTTAAGATAAATAAATAAAAATAAAAAATCAATACTAGATGAAAGCACTTTAGGAATCTTTTGATTGCAAGAATTCTCTTGATTTTTAATTCAGTTTCTGAAACAGAGCTTTTTAAACAGATCCTATACACTAGTGGCCAGAAGTGACAGTAACTTCATCATTCCTTCCCCCATTTTACTCTCACTGACATACACCCTGCTTTCTCTCTCCCCAGCTTTGGTTATTCTTTAGAACATTAGCCTCTCCTACTTTCCTTGCCTCACTTCAGCTCCAAAATAAAATGTTTTTCTGCTGTTAACATGTCTTCTTACCTTAAAGTTCTCTGGTTTTTTAGTAAGTTTTGCAGGCCTAGAAGGCCTTCTTTTCTCTCTGACCAGTTGGAGCTAGCACAACGATTTAGGACTTCAGCCACATCTTCTGTCTGCCTCATGTACGTTGGTATGCTTCCATTCCTAGAGCTATAGGACCTTTCTGAACAGGCACTTGATGCATCACTGTTGGCATCATCATCTGAGTACATCCCATAGGACTCATATCTTCTTCGCACGGGCTTCTTCTATTGTACAGAAACACCCCACATTAGTACTGATTTTCAAAGAGACGGTACACATGTCCATTATCAGTAGAAAGAACAATTCAAATAATCGGTGCGACCCCTAGTCCCTGCAGCGACAAATGACTCCAACTGTTCAACAGGTTAAATTGAATTAATAAAAATATTGTAAAGTATGGCTTGCGTAGTATTCCAAATATAAAAGCAAAGCAAATGCAGAGAAGACATACGTTTGATAAAATGTTCAATTTAAACTTTACTTGTAAAAATCCATAAAATTGCATTATAGGGTGACATAAAGACTGTATTGAAAGTTAGTTATTTCACTTAATAACTTTATATATGTTACAGAACATATGAATCAGGTCTAAACTCACATATTCTGACATTTTAATTTTGCATCAAGCATGTTAATAGCAAAATATTAAACTACTGAAGAAGGAAAATAGTTTCTATACCTTAGTCCGTATGTCTCCTAAGAGCTGTTAGCAGTAAATTATTGAAAAGAAACAGAAATTGAGAACAGGAAGGTAAGGCATAGCAGCATTCTGACTATTAAACTACCTGCCACTGGAAAACATACAGTCGTACAGTAAATTTTGTTCTTAGCTCTCTGTATCCAATTAGCATATCATGCATTGCCAAGTAGTAGCTTGCTAAGCTTCCATTTCCAGGGAAATATTACATATCATCTGCTGGTTGGTCAGAAAGACTTCTCTGTCAAAATCTTTGTGTCTTATGCAGTGATATCTGAGCATGAAGACTTAACACATGCAGTCAATTGCTATCTAAGTATGAAATCTTCATTTAAACTTCACTTTCCCATCAACTTCTCCATCTCTTTGTTTAATTTCATTTCAATATCTAACTTTTGTCATTGCAACAATTACTACAGCAATGTCCTACAAAAAAATAAATTACATAATGCAAAGTCCTAAATTCCCTAAAAACAAAAACAAGTGAAGAAAAAAAAAAAAAACACAACATGCCAAAGGCCAGAAGAAAAAAAAAAAAATCCTATTTATCCCAAAAGGAAAAATACACACCTCTGCAAAATAACTCTGCCATTCAAATTTTGGAGTTGAAGCTAGTAGTTAAAAATTCACACAAAGAAGCAGTAGTATAAGTGATTGTTTTCCCCTTAATTACCATTGTCATTTGCACAGGGTTCTCATTTTTGACTGCAGAATAACTTAGAAGGATATAGCACTACAAACTAGTCAATACATCATATAACAAGCAAGCTTACTGTCAACAGAACAAGCATACACGCACATGTAAGAGAATAAAGGGAAAAATTACAAAGATGCACATTTTTGAAAAGGGTCACCATAAGTAAAAGAATTTTTAAAAAAATAAATAGAATTTGAAATGCCAAGGACTGTGCTAAAGTGAAAGGTATAAAAATATGTAAAGATCACCACATTGCTGCATTTCATGCATCTTATATTCAAACCAGATCTTAGCCAGAAGACCGATGCCCCTTTGTGAATTGAGCAGTATTATAACTGGCCGAGTATTTTTCATACCATAAAAATAGTAATACAATCCAGAATACATATTTATACTGTTATATTGTATCTGTCAGGACTCTGCATTCTACCTTTTACAAACACTGTTCTGGGGCGGGGGGGTGGCAGGGGGCGGGCTTCAGCCTATGATAAACAAGAAGGGTATTCATAACCAGATTTCCATCTAAATGGAGCCATTTGTACAGGACAGCCTGTAAATTTAGAGCATGGCAAGCAACCAGGTGTGCAAATACTACAATAATAAAATGTTGCTGTTCTTGATCTTTCTTTGTAATGACAGATTCTAGCGAAAATATACAAACACTTTCATCTAACATTTCTAGAAGCATCATGCTATTTTGGATTCAGCATATAAACTAGTTTCTGTGAACAAACTTTATTACTTCGACAAAGCAGGACACATTCAAGCATCCAGAGCAGTCATTGGAAGCATGAGTTTCTCCTCAATTTATATTCTTACTATATACTTTGCTCAGTTAAATTTGAATAAGCTTTGAAGCTGCTAAAAGTACTGAAGATACTCTTCACGTAGCACCAGTCTGGATAAATCTGTAACATAGGCTTTCAGATTACAGCCAGAAACTTTACATGTTCCACAGACTGTTTTTCTATTGTTTCCTATTCCAAAATCCAGGCTGACTTCCAGTTTACTAACTAGCATTCCCCATCAACGCTGAAAACTTTTCCAAGTTTACAATATCAGAAAGGGGAAAAATGACTCAATCTTACCATGACCTCCTAGGCAAGACTTCAGATATCCTGATCTCTATGCCAGTGAAGGCACACGAATCTTAAAATAATGTGCCAAGAAGACAGTATTAACCAAGAAATCAGTAAATTGCCAGACTAAGAACAGGATAGCGTTCTTCAGATTTTTTTCCTTTGAAATTTTGTTTTTCTATCCAGTCATATCTAGCTATAATTAAATTTATTTTAGAGTCCAACTTATATTTTTTTTACTAATGTTCCAAATAATCCTTTTGTTAAAGCAGAGTAATAACAAATTCCTTCAAGCACTTAGACAACTAGATAACAGGTACTTACAAACATTTAATGATATGCAAATGGTACATAATACCTGATAAAAATGTATCTGACTCATAGCGTCAGTGTTTTAAATTAATCGAAGATTTCAGCTTGCTGATGTAAATGTCAGAATAGCAAAATACATGATGAGTTCAGTTTGGCTAACTGGGGCAGGGATGTAGAGGAGCCAAACCCACCCTTTCAAAGAACAGTAAAGGTTAAGAAAAAGAATAGCATAAATGGTTTTAAATTCAGAGTAACATTTTGAAAACAAAAGAAAACAGAAACTAAACTTATGAAATGCTGCCTGCCAAGCCATCAGTTCATCTTTTCAGTGTCAATCTCATGTTGTCAGAGAGAACAACTTTAAATGGAACCAAGGCTTACTGTAAGCAGAGTGCTTTAGCTATCATCATTCCCAGCTCTGACAAGCTTTCAACCTATCCAGAAGTTTGTCTGGCTGTTGTGGGAAATTGCTGGTTAGTGCTACCCACTCCACTGGCTCCTTGGGCCACTCCAACAGAACAGTCCAAGACTATTTCCGGCCTGACATGGAAAAATGTACATTTCTCAGAAGTTAAGACTTCTGTAGGGAACAAAAATTCCAATACTTTGCAGCTCTAGCAATTCAGTTTCTCTTTTTTCCTCACCTAGAAGCCAATAAAATAATGAATGACAAGCTCTTTTGCATACTTTAATGTACAGGTACCAAACATTTTAAGAGTGTGTGTCCTACACAAGATAATGAGAGATTCTTACCAAAGCATCTGCTACTGCCTCTTCCACGTCAGAACCTGTGTTCAGAACTCGCATAGCACTAACTGATGATGACAATCTACTTGACTGACTAATTCCAAAGCCGGTACCTGTTGTAACAACAACGAAAATGAATATAAACAATTCAGTCAGAATAGCAACGTGGGACATTAACACCACAGTCACTTCTAAAAACCCAAGCAGAAGAAAAGCATTTGCTTACACTGCTAATAAAATATGTAGTGGCTAAATTACTGGTTATTTTCATTCTGAAGTCTTTAGTGGTGCAGCGAAAAGTAGGAAATGAAGTTAAAAAACAGAGTCACATACAAACATTCTATTCCAATATCACAGGGGGAAAAAACCCACAAAACAATTGTTTTAACTGAAAGAACCTTTCCTTTTTTTTTTTTTATTAACGTCTTCTTCATTTTGGGTTTTTGTTTTCATATAAAAAGATACAATAGGAAGGCTACTGAGAGTGCTGATTAGAAAACTACATGCATGAAGAATGCTCTATGAATACTGAAAAATGGAAAACTAAAAAAAGTTCTTCTGCAAGTAAAAATAAAATGATTGTTAAGGAAGAAAAACGAGGGTGGAGACAAAAATCTAGCAACATAGACACATCTATCTGGATTATTAAAACCACAAAACTCAAATTAATATAAATAATGCTTTTTAAAACTGAACTATGAGAATAACCAAGTGGGTGGGAAAAAAAAATCCAGGATGACTGCACAGATGACAGCAAAGTGTACTCATCCTTCACCTGTAGCCCCATAAACATCAGGAGTGTAGAGGGCACCAGTAGATCTGGAGTGATGTCTGGAAGCTGCAATAACAGGATCATATAAACCCTATCTATTACCATGGAATCAAAGTGCTATAATAGTTGCTTAGATGAACAAGAGAACATTTATCAAAAAGATTCAGCTTTAGCACAAGAAACTGAGTATTACACAGAAGGAAAAAGCTTTAGAGAAGTTCTTTGATTATACAGAATATGATTATATAGAATTATATAGGTTTATGTACACTGGACTTTTCATGCTTAATTTTTTTTAATTTAAAAGATTAAGAGCAGATTAAAAGCAAGTACGTTGAAGTTCAAAGAAGAATAAAATGCGCAGACACACATGCACACACACACACACACACACAAATGGAAACCTCAGAAATATCTAAAAAGTTCCACTGATACTGGTCTTCCGTTGTAGAGTTAACTCGATTCTACGTGCTCAAGTCAGAGCCAGAGCTCACGTATCAAACATTATCTGCAAAAAGTGACTCCTGCAAAAACTTACTGTGTTAGCAGCTGACAGTTTGTATAAACTTGAGTTCTTGCCTATGTGCAGATAAGTCAGCCTCAGTTAAAACTCACTACTATGTAGATGAAAGTTAAAATTATTCAATTTTAATTAAAAGTTTAAAATAATCTAATGCAATTAATAGTTCACAGTTGTATTGTTTTCTTTAAAAAATAAAATGTGAAATTGAAACATTTATGTTAGTTACTATAGCTCATTAGGATTCCTTAAAATTATGTAAAGTGGGAACCAAAGATCCTTAAGGACTTTTGAATAAAACTGAGTACCCTCCTCCTTCTAGCACTTGTATAAAACTGGTGTTTTAGAGATTCAAAGGACATTAACTCACCATTGCTAATACTGTTTTTCTCAAACCAAGTAATTTTAAATTCAATGTATTTTTAAACAACTCATCTTCTTTCTTCAGTTCACTGAAGTTAAGACTTCTACAGCCATGTAAATGAAACTTGTTTTGACAATTTTAACTTGAATTCAAATGTCCACCCACAGTGACATAAATCCCAGATATAAACTTATGATTTAATAACTAAGTACAAATATTTTACATCTTTTAGATACATAAAGTAGTATAAATAGAAACCAGGAATCAAATTAATCATCCTTTACTCTGATTAACATAGACAATTTACGAATCTGATCTGAATCAAATAACCCTGACATTTGGGGAAGCACATCTCTTAACCCGAGCAAACTCCAAAATGATCCTAAGTCCTGTGAAGTCCCAGAAACAACACTGTGTTTTTTCCACGTAGAGTTCTCTACTCCTTATATAAGGCACAGCAATGAATTTTATTTCAAACTAAACCTGCATGAGGTTGTTTAACTAGGGAACTTTATTTTGCAAATAATGTTTTGTGAAATACTTGGTTCTTTAGAAAGTATGTCTCAGCATGGAAAAGTAGACTGAACAGAGGATGTAAAAAATTAGGCATCAAGGCTGATAGAACTTTAAATACAGCAATAACAGGATAAACCTTTCTATTGCTTTCCATCAACAAGCCCAGAAAACTAAAGGTACAATTAAAATGATCCTGCCCCCATAAACATTTGCAATATGCTGAACAAATTTTTAAGACAGTGAAAGGAAGCACTTGGATCAAGCACACCTCATTCCAAAGCATATTTTCAAGAGTATTTTGTACTCCTCAAATTCCAGAAATTTTAATTTTTGTTTCATTTTTTAAAAAGATGAATCAAAGTAAGATTTAAAATGGACTCAAAATAACATATATGGAAATTGTACTAGTCTGATATTTAATATTAATTATATTAAGAGAAAAATAGGCACTTCCATATAAATTACAAATCACTTGCTTCTCAGAGTGGCTGTTATCTCCCAGTTTATAATCTTATACTGAGATGTGAGATTACAGAAACACTTCATACCAATGTATATAGAGAAACAATTACAGAGCATTTGGGCCATTTTATGCCCCAAAGGGCTTAGCATTTCTAAGTAAAAATGTCTGTGCTGAGAATCAGATGCAACACAAATTACATTCCCCCCTCCAACCCCATGTAAAACTGTCTCCAGCTACAAACACAGAGCTGAATTTGCCTTACTTCATATTCCACTTGTACCCGTGAAAAATATTAAATTTAGTATTTTTGATAGAAGTTAATAGCATCCCTTAAGACAAAACTGGTCCAACAAAACACTGAATGACATTCAAAATCATTCAAATAAGAAGTCATACTAGAAGGAATCTTAGGAATCCTCATTGCTTCCAGGTATAGATGCTTTGGGTTTTTTATTAAACAACACTGGATTCCTGTATATGTCACTTAGTGCAAAGTCTGTGCTATCAAACAATTCAATCTATTGTATCTGTATAGGTACTTGCTTTAATATCTGAATACAAAAATTCAACTCCATCAATAAAAACAAAACCTCAAGTAGCATCCACCCCAATGAACCATCCTATGGTATTAGTTTAATACTGATTTCTTAAGATAACAAGCATTTGACCAAATATAAAATGGAAATCAGATCTCACATGTATGCAATTGAAGTCAAGCTGTAAGGTAGCAAAAGAAGCAGAAAAATATCTGGGAAATACCCTCATTTTTAAAAGAAAAGAAGGTGCGTGTGTGGTACAACACAGTTTGCCAGCTGTGTTTTAGTAGAAGATACAAGTTTACTAATGGATCCTGCATAATACCTACTTTTAATTTAATTTCCCAATTAAAGAGCATCTGGGCAAATTAGCATTAGTTATTTAAACAGCTCTCATTAAATTAAACTGTACTTTTCCAATAAAACTAGGGCTGACAGGAAGCATGCTGCCTTAACAGACCACAATAGACTCCCAGTGCTAATTAGGAGTACAGTCGGGTGCCTCAATTTGAGATAGAAAGCAGAGATTTACTATTTTCAGATGATGTTTAACAGCTAGTATTGCGAAGTCACTGACTGTAAGCTACATTTGAACAAACAAAAGAAAAGGGATGCATACTGAAGACTAACTCAGACAAAGATAACACCAAAAAAAGATCTGTTTCAGATACAATCTTACAGAGACAGTTTTTTATTACCAAGCAATAAAAAAAATATAAAAAAATCCCAACACAGAAAAAGATTTTTATCAAAATTTACTACCAACTTTGTAGTAACCTTGACAAAGCTATATGGAGATAAGTAGCTTCCCTAATCCTTAACCAACAAGTCAAAATAATTATTAGCTAATGTTTCTATGCCTTATTGATGTTTCAGCAACAGACAACAGCTTCACAACCTTGCAGTATCTTTTAAGTGTCAGGCCAATAAGTTTAAATACTAACTGAAAACAAAACTTTGCTTATAGCAGCTCTAGGAATGAGGATTGAATGTGTGAATGTTAGGAGTTTTCAATTCCTCTCTTCTTCCCCATGAAACAACAGCTGCTACTTTAATTACTTACCACTTGTTCTGTACACAGATTAAATGTAAACTTCAGAACTGTAATTCTGTTCATATACTTGAATAAAGACTTCGCTGCTTGCCCTATTCATTTCCAGAAAGTGGAAAGCACCTTCAGTAGATCAGTCCCTTATCTGTACCACCATATTTACTTGAACAGCAAAAAGTTAAAATTTTTATTATTTTTTCACATGATATGGAGATGACAATATAGCTAAGGAGACATAAAAAGAAGCATATTTCCTTCTTATACACCAAAATGATAACACTCACTAGGGAGCAATTTTGAATACTAGCAGACCCTAGCCATTGATGCAGGGAAAGGCAGAGGATGACAGCCATGCTGCACTCTTTACTTTAGCTGGTCAGTGAGAAATGGATTATCTAACTGCACCCAAGCATTGAGTGCTGTAATAAAAAGAGAAACACACCATTTCAAAAAAAACTTTCCAAAAGCAGAATTGCCCTTTCAAAAAAAAGTCTCTAGGTGCTACGTATCACACAACTTTCCAGGCTTGGTATTTAAGACAAGACTAACATTAGCATAGCGTTTATTTTTCAAGTGTGCAACCCATTCACACATTGGTCAATTCTCCATCGAAGTAAGTGGTGAGTGAGCCAGAGGAAGGGAAAATAATGGTGGCCGGCTACAAGCTAAATGAAGGAGGCACGGATTCGTTAGGTGCAAATAATGAAGGGCAAGGACAGCCATGCACAACAAGGGGCTCTGAGTACTTACCAAGGGGTGCAAAAGAGCGGACAGGGCTTGTGTCCCTGCTACTTTCACGGCTGGCCTCCCGACTGCACCCCTGACTCACACTAGGCCGAGGAATGCGGCTGCCTCGTGCTAGTATGATTCAGGGTACAGACAAACAGCAGCACAGAAGGGAGAAGACATAAGAAAAGTTGCAGTTTTAATGCAATTCTGTTTTGCAGTAAGATCAAAAGATGTATTTCTAAGAAAAGACACTGACGATTATGTCATATTATAAGTCGTAACTGTTTCCACACACTTTCTTGATTGTGCTGGATTACACTAAGCATAGCCAGTTCAAGGAAGCTATTTCTTTGCTCAGATAAAAATGGGGATTTACCAACTCTTTACAGAATGGTTGAAAAACCTCTTGAAAAGGACGGAGACAAAACAAGCAATGAAAGATATGAACAGAATATTGATTCAGAATTTGCGCTCAAGATCAAGTTAATCAACGGTAACGCAAATGAAAAATACCACAGCTTTCTAAAGAAGGAAAATACTAAGTTAATACAGCTAAGGAAAAATCAAAATACAAACCAAAGAACAGCAGCAATGCCATTAAAATAAACTGGTATTTTTTAATAATATTTTTTGTAATAAAGTGTAATCAGGTTATACTGGGAGGTTTAAGTAATATAACATTCATTTTTGTATCACAGCAGTAAACACATGCACGCACACATACACAGAAGACACAAAAGTAATGAAGAAAAAGATCTTCTCAAAATGGTATCACACTTTCATTCAATAGATGTGGGTATTTTGGGGGTGGGGATAAGAACTGAAGAAACGTGAAAGAGAAAAGCAAGACAGGGAGGTGAGGGAAAGAACAACTACTGCATTGACAGCAAAAAATTCAATTTTTAGGTTAAATTTTTTAAAACTGTCTTGTGTATCAATGACTACCCTCAGAAAACAGGCACATCTTAGATTATTATCAATATGTATTCTAATTTTATCATCCACCTGTAACTAAACGCAAGCTGTAGATATCCAGCGCTTAAAGTAAAAAAGGCTATAAAGAAACCAAGAGTTATTCAGTGATTCTTACCTACTGACAGTCTAGAAGGACTAGCTTCTCTACTGCATCCCTGACTTCGTGGGATTTTGCTTCTTTTTTGTGCAGTTGCAGGATTCACTAACACTCTCTGAACTCCTGTGTTCATAGTGGAAAGTGTGGTTGTTGTCAAAACTCTTCCAGGAGACCCAGATCTACTGCCAGCTGAAGGCAAAATGAATAAAGATAAATAACAGCATAGAAGATAAACAAAAATGGTTAAAAAGAAAAAAATGCTTACAGTTAGTAGGAAAGTGGTGGTAGACTGTAATGGTCTGGAAAAACTTACAAGGTAAAAATGTGAAATAGAAAACCCTGGTCCAAGTTCTTATAGCACTACATACAAGACAGATGAAATTATCAATGCAAGGAAGCACCTGGCATGGTATTTAGCACTAGATACACTCAAGAAATTATAAATAATATTTCTAGTCTTCATCAACAGTTCCAATGTCCCTAACACAAACAATGGTGTGTTCATTTTTCAAGCTATACGGTCTCACTAATCCCATTTTCTATTAAAAAAGAAAAAGAAAAAAGAAAAAAACTGCTAGAAAGCTAAAGGGAGCAACTTTAAACTAGTGATATATCATAATTATCCCAGCTGTTCCAATGCAACCAATGTTTAATAAAGTAACATCATTCTCCTAACATTTAACCTCTTCTCCTTCGCTTTTAAAAGCATCAGGTCTTCAAGCACTGCTCTCTGAGAAGTTACATAAAATGTCACTGAAGACAATTAAAATACTCATGTTACTTTCTGTGGAGGTTACCCCACAAATAAGAAGAAAATCTTCAATTAATTTTAAACAAGCTAAAAAGATTGACCAAGACATACTTAAGAATCATATTTTTATTAATCAAAACTGTACATTACAAACTGCTATAATGTTTGTTTCAACACACTGTACTCACTACCAGAAACTGGTCACTGATCACTAATTTTGATATTTCAGTTACAGAAAACTTAAGTTCTAAGCCCATAAGGATCCATTCTTCTCTAGTTATGACCAATTTATACCACCAGTTGATATAATTTCCAGCTGCAGAATTCAAGAAGTCCGACCAGATAAAAAGCAAAACATAACTTCAACCAAAGGTTGATTACGTACAGATACAAACCTTTCATTACTCTTTTAAAAAATAATCAGGTAACTGCATGACCACAGCTATGCTATCAGATCTACAGACTTGACATGCAACATCTCAAGTGAGTTTCATGGGTTACTTCTTATGAGGCACATTTTAAAAAGATACAAGTTGATAAAAGCTTGACTACATGGGAAAAGAAACAAAATCCCAAACAAAATAAAACATATGTTGGGTGGAAGGGAGAAAACTAAAACAACGTACCATGCATATACTTTCAGATTCATTGTTTGAGTTCAAACTTGAAATGATTATTTAGCAAAATCCCTTTTCCAAACTATGGACCTATTCAGCAGAAATTATAAATAAAATATTACACAGCCTGGAAAAAACAAGCGTAACTTCTATAGCAAAAAAAGAATAGGCAAATCTATAAAACTGCTGTGATCTGCAAAAACGAAGGGTTTGGTAGTTTCTTCATATCAGGGCATTTCAACTTAGACCTGATATTACTATGCCTTCTTCCTAGCCTTCAATATTTTTACATCTCTTTAAAACAATGAGAATATCGTAAAAGTTTCACTGTGCCGGAGATTGTTACAAAATTTTCTTCAATAGGTCGGAAACCTGAAAAACTTACTGTTATCAGACTATACAAAAGAAAATCAACCTCTAATACTTTATCTTTCTATTGTCTGACCTGCAAAGTGTACCACTATAGCGTAAATAAACCAAATGAAGTTTAATATCCTGAAAATATTATGCTAATCACATCATTAGCATACTGTTGTCAGTACTACCACCAGTAGTACATCTAAGCAAACTGAATGATGAAAGAAGGTTTACTAAAATGGTATTCCGAAATGACAAAACCGTGCCATCTCTTACTGCCTTCTAAATAAGGATTACATCCAATTAGGTAAGTGCAACATATGGAAAAAAGCGAGCCAGAATTTCTGCTGAATAGGGTCCTTAAATGAGATATGTCAAACAGGTGATCAAACAATGATGTATACACAAATTCTGTAGACTCTTACCACCAATGGGGTTAGCAGACTGTGATCCTGAACAAGTGTAAAGGCAGGATTAGGGTAGGGGTTTATAATCCATGAAGAGGGAGGGAGCAGAGCAGATTAAAAAATGGATGGCAAATGGAAATAAGAAAGCTTTAGTCATTTCACAGAGGAAAAAAAGCCACAAGGGGGTTATGCTAAAGCAGTGCTTTTAAGTAGCTTCCACAGTTGAAGAACTAAACTCAGATGCTATATGTACAAAGCAGATGAAGCAAAGCTGCACAAGCAAATCACAATTCTTCAGCTTTCTAATCAATAACTGGGTAATACTGAAGAATTACATTTCAATTAAGCATGAAACCATAGCCTTCCATATTACTTTAAAAGAATATTACATTGCCAAAAAGGTTCAAGAAGTTCAACAGCTGAACAAAAATTACACACAAGGCCAAAACATTTCTTTTTGAGACAGACAGTAAAGGAACTGAGCTGCAGGTGCGGTGGATGACAAGAAAAAAAAAAAAATCACAATGGCACAACTGAAAAGACTTGCATAGAATTTCAGGTTTTCCTCTTTAAAATTAATCTGAAGTATAAAAGTAAGAATTTGTTATTCAGAAATTTAATTTTTTTTTCTCTGAATGAAGATTGTAACGTAATTTTAGCACACCTTGTTGAATTACCTGACAACCAAACAGGAAGAGGAAAAAAATGGAACTTTTTTTTTTCCCCACAGATAAGAATAAAATAATGAGCTATAGATTGTATATGCATTTATTTTATGTTATAATTTAAAAATAGAAGAGGAAGAGTAAAGGGCTTCTAAAACCCTGAAAAAGTATCTTTTGTAAAAGCATTCAAATTTGCAAGTCTTTCATAAAATGATCTTAGAACAAAAGTGCTAAATAGTTGTAACCCTAAATTTACAAAAGCATCTGTGTTACAGTGGTTTTTAAAAAATAAAAGCTTAAATCTAATATGAAGTTATTTTCCCCACTATAAGCTGGAGAACTAAAACAATCTCCTGTATAGAAACATAAAGCATCTTGCTCCCTATAATGCTGTGAAAATTTACAGTCACATAAAGAAGCATCACCCAAATAGCTGGCATACAGTGCCTGACAATTCTCCTTCGCCTGTTTATCTTCCTTAAAACATCTCAGAATTCTTGTTCTCCCCCACTGACAGGTTATAATGAGATATCTGAAGCCACCAGTTCTGAACAGAAGTAGTAATAAAAAGCTGTAAAGATGCATTCATGCGTTTCATTTTCACACATCATCATAGGTAGACAAATCTAGTTACTTCAACTTCTCTCTTTAGTCATTAATACTGTGTGTAAAAATGAATTCTCTTGGAAAAAAATTGTCATTATTAGTAAAAAGAAACTGAAAAAAGTTCAATTTGTTTCCCCGAATATTTAATTAACTAGTATTATATAACAACGATAATCATAAAAGTCTTATATTGCTACCTAAATTTAACCCCTCCCCCAAACGGTTTATTAAGCACTTTAGCATTTAAGAATTTACCAAATCTATTTAAACTACAAAGTTATTGTCAAAAAGCTTATTTCAGAACTTCTGTAATACTAATGAAAAGAGTGTTATGGATACTGCTGACGACTTTTCATAATGAGAAAAAGTGATTTGATGGGATTGTTACCTCCCCTCCCCCTTAAATTATTAATACAAATATTCTTTATGATATAGTGCAGTCATCTTAACACTGAAGATGTAAAACAAGTTTTGCAGAACCTTTGTCACAGCCAGTAACTAGACTTTATTTTCAAGTTCTCATCTCACAAACACTGGTGGGATTAGAGCACTGTCAAAGCAAAAAGCAAAAAAAAAAAAAAAAATTGAGAGAACTTCTGTTACTGGATTTTACTATTTTGTATTTATCTATTCCGATTTTTTGAAAGTTTTGTTTCACAAATCTGCAAGCATTGTATCAGGTTTTATTCAACTGTATTTGTTGGAAAATAAAGCAATGCAAAACTGAAAGGGAAGTACTCTAGCAAGAAAAAAAAAAAACCTTTTACCTGCTTTTGTAATGTCTAAAGTCATTCTATTTATGATAAATTTAGTCCTTGCTATGAAGATAAATGTTTCTGCCATTAACAGAGAATTAAGGGGTTTTATCAAAAAAAAGTGGATATGGTTACTGATAGCAAAATAATTTTACCAGAAAATTTAAAACCTATACGATTTACTGGGTTTATAACACCAGACCTGACAAACTACAGGACTCATTAGTTTATTTTCATTTTATTGTTAATTTGTCTTCCTTCCATTAATTTCTTTCCATTTCACTTAATTAGACAAAGATGAGAATCTGAAAACACTACAGATCTTAGTCAGAAGATACCTGTTGGAGAAATCAGATGTGTGAACAAATTGCTGTAAGTCAGCCAGCGCCAAAGAATGTGAGGTAATCAGGTCTTTTTAATTAATGAGAGAGTGCTCAGAAAGATGGGAAATTTTGCATTTGCTTTGGTTTCTAAACACACATCAAAAATGACTGTGGATTGGCTGACATATAGTAAATTGCTTGTTTTAACCCTTTGATTCAATACAAGCTAAGTAACTGTTTATGAAGTTAGGGTTTAGTATTTTTACTCTAAAGAAGAGTTAAGTAAACCTAACAACTGTAATACCAAAAAAGGAGTACATATCCAAGAGCCAGACTAGTGCCTACCTTAAAACGAAAACAAGTATTTCTGGCTGAAAAACAAAGACTTTTTGAAAAATGAAACATTAGGTTTTGCAGGTAACACTGAGGACACCATTCAGCCTATTCCTTCTTCTTTATTACTCGTCCATGTGTCATGAAACTGACACAGAAATTTACTGGTGTTTTGTGTTGGGGAGGTCAGAAATGGGGGGGAAAAGAATGTTGAGAAGTTATAATTGAAGACAGAATTTAAGGGTAGATTTCATTTCCTGTTACATTATTGAATTTAACTGGCAAACTAAGACCTAACCTAGTATTTTGTCCAGAGAAAAACAACATGAATTAGAAAAGCATGCAAATACCACTGATCCAAAACACTGAAAAAAATACCTTCATTTTTGTCTGGCGATGATGAACCTAAGGCACAGAACAACAACTCAGTATGTAGCTTTTTTTAAAAATTAACTTTGACTGTAGCCATTGGTCAATGAACATATGCTTAAGCATTTGGCCTCTTTTATCAGTTATAACTGACAAACAGAAAATACATACGCTGAGACTGTGACACCACTTTGGTTCTACTCCGTCCTCTGGAATCTGTTTTAGAATTTCCAATACCAACAGAAGGCGTTGAAAGCTTTGTTCGTACACGACCTATAAAAGAAAAATGGCATTAAATCAGTTTTTCACAGTAACGTAGAAAGCAAGACATCAGTAGCATTCACTAATATTTTCTTACATTTCTGTAGATAAGAAAGAAGCATAATGTAACTCAATTGGTGGAAATTCGCTTGGGATAATTAGTAGAAATTTGAACAACTTGAAGGACTTAATAGTTGAGGAATCAAAATACTTCTCCTCTGATGCTACACATTTCAGTAACCAATTTACACGTTATTATTTAAACATCCTGAACTAGCTAGCTAGTTCTAGCTTCCTATATAACTAGGCTGATTATATTAAAAAAGGCAAGTTTATTAAATATAATAGGCAACGCATACACTAATGTTGGCGTATCAGGTACAATCTTCTAGTAATTACTTGTGGTTTTAATTCTACTTTGCTGTCATAACACTACAAAAATTATGTTGACTGTTTTTTGAATAGGGTTCTGAGGTTTCTTCTTAACTTCACTCCTTTTTTTAGAAATCTAAATACTAGCTTTCCTATTACTGAAGACTCTACTGTTTTCCGAGCCACAGTCATATAGACTTCTACAGGCTTTCCCAAGCCTTTTACAGCATGTTGCAAAGACTAAGTACACTTAAGTACTTCTCGGTGACAACATGATATAAGAAAATACGACTCTCCTCAACAGATAGGAGAAGAGAGGAAGAGGCAGATTAAACTGAGTATCTACAACTAAAACAATAGATTCACTTCTCTCTAGAATGCCAAACCATCTTGGTTTTGGATTAAACCTTTTTGCATTATTAGCCATGGTCCTCATAACATTCAGAGCATACAATGAAATTACCAAGAAAGGAAGACCTGAGTTGGATGAATTATAGGTAACTGAAAGATTATTCATAAAAGAAAATAGTAGTGTACTACATGTCCTAAGCCAAACTCTCAAACAACAGGAAAATGAAACAAAAACCAAAACCGTGCTAGCCATAATTCTTATAAAGCTGCAAGAATAAAACCAAAAAAGCTTGTACAGGGATCTAGATCACGTAATCCACTTTTAAAAACAGCGTAATTATTTCCTAGACATGTAGAGTCAATATTTGACCCAGAAGAATTAGGTACACAGACTGTTATTTAGTTCTAGCCTCTTTAGGCTTTCCACAGCAGAATTTGGAGACCAACCAAGTTAATATTATTCATCCAAGTAGAGGGAATAGCCATAGATGAGAGTCTATAAGAAGAGAATCAGGATAAAGGAGGTTATTCGCTAAACTACTAGAAAACAGTATGCTAGCAAGAATGGTTAGATTAACTAGTCCAAACTCTACTAGTTATCCCCGTGCAATGGCAATGTTTTCCCACTGAGTGCTGTGAGACTGCAAGGCATGTAACTGAGTTCAGAATTTGGCCCAAAAACTTAGGAATACAGAGTGCCACTATTTTGATACTATGTTAAAATTATTGCTTGGAACCTAGCTCAATTTTATCAAAGTAAAAAAACAGTTTGTATTGTGAGGCAAGTGAACTGTTAACTCACTTGGAGTCTCTACATCCATTCAGTAATGACAAGTTTAAATGTTAATACCACATTGAAGATGAATTTCCACACCTCAAAGAGATGAGTAATAGTAGCACCTGCTTCCCAGAGCATGAACACATTTGATGAAATATTCTGTGACAAGATTTGCTTTAAAAGACATATGCAAAATTATAAAGCTCTTACATTTTCACACTAAAAATGTTAAGCAATGACACTTCTACTGCAGATGAGTACTTGAGAATTAAAATAAAAGCAAAAGAATTTTTAAAATCTTACATGACAACTGAGTATTAGATGCATAAGCTATCTGGAGTTATGAACCTCCACAAAGCCCCAGAAAGACCACATTCTACTTTTAAAGCTTAATTTGTATCAATGAAAATATGAAGCTGAAAATATTAGCTATTCTAACAAAATATTGTCTTACCATCTTCAGAAGCTGTTCCTAAACAGAAAAAATAATAAAATACATGATATTCCAAACAATACTGTGTCTCTCCAATTCCTTTTTGAGATTAATCTTACGAACCTTGACAAATTTTATCAAGTCTAGAGGTCTAAAGCTTTTGTGTTGCAACTCCACTATTGAATTGAAGCAAAATTATCAAGAAACATCCATACTACACTGTTAGTGATTTACAAGAACACAATATATAGCACTGCCTTCCAAACTGGTTACAAAACCAACAAAAAAAAAAAAAAAAAAAAACAAAAAAAAAAAAAATATCCATGAAATAAGTCAACAAAATTACATGTACAGACGAAAACTAACAATAAAAATATTTTAATGCAAGCTCTTCTGAAAATATAAAACATACTATTATAAATTATCTCAGAGAAAAACACTAGGACAGTTTTTCCCACACTGGCCAGTGATAATTTGATCAGAACTGTCAGGAAGGAGGATTTCTCCGAATGTAATCCACGATTACTCCAAAAATCTATGTGCACAAGATCAAGTTTTGCTCAGAGAAGTGGAAGTATTATGAGCTTGCTGAAACCAGATCACACTTGAACAAGTATGCCAAGCTTAACAAGGCTTGATTATGACAAAATGAGAGCCAGACAAATCTTTTTACTGACATCATTACCTAGGAATTGATAGGAAGCTATCTGAACAGCAGTCTAAGTTCCTTTGAAACGAATCTGATTATGTAATAAAATATATATTAGTAGTGATAAAAAAGTTAAATGCCTCAAACAAAGTCAAAGGGTAGTTCTGTTTTTGTTTTCACCCTGCCATTTCTGCCTTGTAAGAGAATGACAATGATTAAAACACGTTAGTGTTGTTTGCTAGCCTGAATTTAACTTCCTTAGCAAATCTGGCTCTGGCTTTCTCATATACTATCTTCAAGGCACTATTTTAAAAACTCACTCTAAAAAAATAATTCAGTGTAACTTTCAATGCTTCTTCACAAAATCAGTTACAGCAATATGTATGAAGGAGTGCCTCAAAGTTTTCCAGATCAAATTTGCCAGTCTGTATAAAAAAAAATCCCAAACCCTAAACTTCCCCCCAAATCCAACATTCTTCCAGGGCTGGATCTTGGAAGGCAGGTTCCATGCAACACCTAAGCCAGGCTAACAGCTAGCTGCTCCTAAAGAGTGGTTCTGCTTCTCCTTCCCCTCCACGCTTGTGCTACCACCCGGTTTGGATGGCTAAAGGCTCACTGCCAGCTCCAAAAACTATGTAACAGAATACTATTCACTTCTGGTTTATGAAATCAGTTTTCTGGAGTTTGTTCACCTACAGCAATTGATAATGGAGTATTACAAGGCACTTATAAAAGAAGTGGTAAAAACATATGGCTAAGATTAGTGGGAAAAGGAAAAATTATTAGTTTCTCCTGGTGGCAGTTAGATCAGAGCAGCTATATCAGACAACTACAGCTGGAGAGCTAAGCTGTGTTCACGCTGCATGTGCACATCATCCCTACAGACATCCTCTAGAAAAAGACCCTGTTACTCTGATCAATTGTGTAGCATTTCCCCTACGATTTTTAAGCAGATGTGTGGGACACCATTAGTTGTGACTACCAGTCTGAACAAAAGAAAAAGCCTGTACACATGGCCCTAAGAACCTTCATTGCTGGTAACAATGTGAAAAAGCTCAAGATGAAGTGTTTAGCACAGATAGCTATAAATAAATTCTATTATATGCAACATAAGGAAATCTGATATGGAAATAAGTGAGACAGACACTTCTACCCTGTACAAACTAATTTTAATAAAGTTGGCTTGCCATCTGCAATGCTCAAAAATGGCTCAAATTCTTCCAAAAGTATCTCATGAAACTTATTATCTGTGCTTTAGAATGATTCAGGATTCTGTGTTTTAGAGATCTGCCTTCTTACTATTTCATTTCTATGAAAAATATCGCCTGCTTTGCTTCCAGTAAATTACTCATTCTTTGAAACATGTACTGTTAATAAACACATGACAAGAATTACGAAGTAAACAGCAAACATATCTGACTCCTTAAGTGTTCCCCAGCAATAAAGTAGAGCTAGAATCATCAGGCATCAAGCTGGGACTCTGTCACTTCTTATATGGGAAGCATTACTTACACACACCTAAAACAGGCAACTGCTAGAAGAAGCCTGATTCTCAACTGCTTTGCAGTTACGACAGAAATATATAACTCCCTCCATGTGTTTTATACAGTGAATTAAGAAAAAGTACGCACTAAACTTAGCTGGAATACTTGGTAAGCTATTTTACCGGGTAGTTCTTCTTAATAAACTGTTCTTTAACAGAACTACATTGTATTACAGGATTTACAGGCACTTAAAGTTACTAGTAGCTAGACTAGCTTTTGATAGAGTACTTTTGAAAGAGAAGATTGTAGTTTCATTTTTTATAAAAATCCTTAATGATGTGGTCAAGCATGTTCTGCTCTGCCATTGCTGTTCTGCCAACAAGTCCAAAAATTTGACTTTACAGGTAAAACTATGAAAAAAATGGAACTAGAGCTAGTTAAAAAAAACATGCATTGATTACAGAATTGCTCTGTAATTAAGAGAGCTTTTTTAAAAAAACAGGAGTAACATCCAATTTCTGATAGTTTCTGTTGCTGATACAGACCAATCAAAAACATTGACAAATACAGCAATAACAACACATATATATTGACATCAAGATTACATGGGTATTAATGAAAACAGCATAGTATTTTGTTAATGAACAGACAAATATATTAAACATAAATAATTTTACATAAAAGACACTTTATTAAATATTTAATAGAATTAAGAGGACAGACTAAACAATTTCTTACCATCCATCTTGTCAGAAGTATCCTCTTTGTTGAAAAAGCAGGCAAAGAAACATGGAAAACTTAGTGTGTTAGAATAAAGGTGTTCACAGCAGAGTCATAAAACATTAATTAAGGAAAATACATTAATATTAAATACAGCAGGCATGTTTATCCAATTCATGCATGTATAAGCTACCTTAAGTAAAGTTGGTTTCTCCCAGTCCAAGATACAAAATTACAGGACAGGGTACAAATATCCTGCACAGGGAAGTTGAATCTCTCTGTATTACCCAGATTTGAGCAAACCCTTACAGTAAAATATTTATAAACTGTTTCACACTTGGTGTCAACAGTTATTGAAGCATCAGTACATATTTACAAAATTACTGAACCACAGCATTTCTATTTCTTATTAAATTTGCTATGACCATGAAGCCCCACCTGGGGTAAGGGACAGGAGGGAAAAAGACATCACAATAAAGACAGAGGACAAATGGGAAAGTTCCACTCTGGTTTAAAAGCATTAAAGATTTACCAGTTCAGCTGGAAGGTAGTGCATACATATTCTATACATATACACACACATAGAGCATACAGCAACAACTGAAATCAAAATATTTAGCTTGAGACATATATAATTACAGCTCAAGTCTCTCTCCTCAAAAAGGACATTAATAGTTAAGGATGTCAAAGATAGTCAACATTTAGAAAAACTAAAGTAGAGAATGTCCTCCTACTTCTAGAACAGTCTTTAAAAAAAACCCCAAACATAAATAAATAAGCAAGAGTTCTTCTATTAATAATAAAAAGGGAAAAGATGGGTGGAGACAATTATAGATTACTATGCTCGTGAACTTGTGGTCCTCTAGAGGCTCTAAATTTGGCAGCTGTTTAAGCAAAAGGTGGATGTTTCTCTGTAAGTAAGGGTGAGCATTAAAATAAATTCAAGCTCCAGAGGAGACAATGTTATTTATTTTGGAATTGACTGCAACACCTGAGAAAATGTGGAAAGCATTATGGAAATACAGTGACATTTTGTAGGCATTTTAGTACCATGGTCAGCATTAGCTTGACAATTCTGTCATTTAAGTTGCCATGTTTGCATTTAGTCTAAACCAGCCCCTTAAAATGAACAGAGGGGAGAAGTTTACAAATTAGCCCATTTCCTGAAACATGGCATTTGCTTGGATTCACACCCCATTAAATTTAATGTTATCTTTTGAAAACTAAGAGCAAACAGTATTTTGAGGTGGATTCCATGGTTATCCACAGCCAAACACACAACAGTTACACTCTCTATATAGGTCAGAGGGGACAGGTATGTGTCATTTAAATTACCTTACCACTATTAAAAAACAGTTGGAAGAATGAGCCAAGATCAACCAAGCAGTACTGCTTTTGTGTGACTGTAAACAAACCTTGGTCTCCTTAACTATCACTGCCCTTATACCACCTGTAATAGGATTCGACTTTGCATTGGTAGTATCACATTATTTTGCCATTTCAAACCACCACTATAATCTTCTCCACAAGCAATTGCATCTGCTAGCAAGGCAAAGCTTTCCAGCTACTCAAATCCTTCAAAAGAAAATGACCTGGACTTACTGCCTATTTACACCTCTCCCCCACCCCCACTCACCAAATCCATGAGCTACAAAGAGAGTAAGCTCTTCCTTTATTTCTGTTATTTTCCTGCATAAACCCACCACTAATTTACTTCCTTGAAAACCTCTCAAGCCTTGTTTACAAGTCTGGGCACAAACCGCATATTGCTTAAAATGTTCTGAAAGCAAACCAATACTCCAATCAAGAGGTAATTTTCTGTGAAATTCTTAAGACCAAAGTAGTCCTTTCATTTCAGCAGCATGAAGATGACAGATTAACAGAGAGGTTTCTCTCTTTGTTTTCTGCTTGACATTTTTTTTCCTTCTACCACCACACCCTGTGTCATTTTTACTTCTCACAACAGCTGAGCTTCAGCTTTGTCTGAGATTCAGGATATGTCCTGTTGCACACCAAAACAGACCAGGCAATACTCTGATCTTGGAGAATAATCATCGCACCTATTTCAGGCTTTTAGGCATTAAGTTAGGAGGAACTGAGAATTCCTCAAGTGATAACCACAAGCGCATCTCCTCCCCGGAGCAAACTAAGCAGCCTAACTTCAGTGCCCCCCTGCTTATGCAGCAAGTTTTCCAATTCCCTCCCTGTGGGCACTAGAGGGAGCCCACACCTGAAATTACTATTTCAAGTAGCAAGTATTCCTTCTAGTTGGCGTTGCTCACACTCAATCCTAAAATCAATGGTATTCAAACCATTTCAAGTAGGCCCCAGTGACAAAAGAATTAACTAATTTAAAATACAGTACTTCAATTTTAATTTAAAAAAGTACAACCAAAAACTTTGAAAACCATAGCCTTAAGTGTATCCTAACATCTCCCCAAACACAAAGTAAATCAGAAGAGCTATACAGTTTCTCTGCCTCTCTTATGATCACCTTCGGCCATACTGACATTCGGACATGCCTCCTTGGTGATCTAGCTGGCACAGAATTTGAGAACTAATGGTTTTGTCGACACTGAACCTCACTTCCCCCACTGCTACCCCTGCAGTATACTTTTTTATACTGCCAAATACTTTTCTGCACTCTTAAAATTTGTAGCACTTTCTATGCCTAACTTCAAGTATTCCTACCAATGAAGGCTGTCACCTAGATAAAAACATACATATAGTTCCGTCTACATGCTCAGGAAGAAATCTATTAAATCAATGTTGTGTATTGTGCAAAACACTTCTGTTGTTTTACATGAAGAAGCCACCACTTACTTCCAGGATGTCTCTTTAGGCTTCTTATAAAATAGTCAGCTAAAGAGCTGAGAAAATGGAAAATCGAGAGTTCTAACACACACTTCCCTATCACTTCTAGAAACAAAAAAGCCATGATCACCATCTGCTGCTAAGTGAAGGTACTGCTCCTTCCGATACTTGATATTAATTCCAGATTTACACTAAAGAGCATAGTATGGAAACATTCTTTGCATTGGCATTCTTCCAGCACAAGAAAAATAAGACATCCTGCAAAGTTGGTAACTTACTTCAGAACACCTGCTCTTTTGCGATATTCCAATACTACTAAAAATTATGACAATTTTTCAAATGCAAAAGTATTTTCCCTGTAACTTTTTGATCGAAAACCTCAAAAAATATTTCACAGTACTGTAAAGATGTTTCCCTTACCTAGCGAAGCGTAAGAGCCTGGAGGTAGACCAGCTGTGGACAAGCGCCCAGCTCCAGCTGTCTGTCCAGCAGCATGGCGGGCCTTTGCACCCGCGGCAGCATTAACATCAATGTCGCTGCGAGACCTTTGCAGAGTTCCTGGGCTTGGAACACTCTTGCTGCTGCCTGAAACTAGCAAAAAAAAAAAAAAAAAAAAAAAAAAA